AATTCCAAAATGTAACTCTTCCCCATTGAAGTGAGAACTTGTCATTTTTATATCTGTGTTTGTACAGTCTAAAGAAAGAAGATGCCACATGTTAATGAGTGAGGTTTCTAACTCAGGACAGACTGAGACAAGCTGTCTCCCCGCTTTCAGTCTTTATGCTCTCGACTTTACAGACATGAAACTCTCAAGTCATGCTTAAAAAGACGGTGAATAATGCTGCATTTCTGGAGATATTCTCGTCTTATAGAGACAAAACGGAAAAGTTAAAAGAAGGAGGAGGTAAGATACACAACTGGTTGGTTGACATTAATCTAATCTGCATTCTCTCTCTCGTTCTCTGCCTCTCTCTCTCTCTCTCTCACACACACACTCTCAGACATCCAGTCTACACACACTCTTACTGGAGGCGAAGGTGTGGGGCTCCTGCTCTCTCCTTCCTCCTCTTCATCTTGTGTCCCGGGACAAAAGGCTCAGCTCTAATCTTTAATAATCCACCGGACTGCATCGGCTCATCTGTCTGTCAAACACATACTGATCCACCGAGGCTCCTCGAAGCACCAAAAACTGTTCCATAGTCATTCCTCTATGAGTCAAACCACTGACAACACTTTTATATATAAAGGAATGACCAGAGTGTGTGAGTGTATATGTGTGTGTGTGTGTTACATCAGCACCTGCTCTTATCTCCACACACACAATTATGCGAGGTATCTGGGGTAGAGTGTTCCTTCACCAGCAAGCATGGACTTGCTGAGTCACACACTGCCTCAAAACACACACAAACTCACACAGTCTGTGGAGCTACATGCAGACCACACACACATTTCTCTGAGCCCAATAAACAAACTCAGTGTATATTACACCGTAACTCATCTGGGATTTCCTCTTTCTCATTTTGTCTTCCTAGCAATAATCCAAAATAAGTAAAAAAAAAAACAAAAAAACAACACAGGATAAATCCTTAAGAGCCAAGTTACAAACTCTTTCTTTGAAAATAATCCAAAAAAACTTAGAGGAGTTCCGTCATGGAAGATGATAAAGAGGAAAATGATCCGTCAAATTCAGATTAATTTCACCCAGACGACCCTCAGCTCCTGCTCTGACCGATCAAACGGACAAAAGACTGAAGAGGGACGCTCCTGTCTGCGTGTGCCCAGGAACAGAGGGCCTTCCCTGGGTACAGTCTGCCCAGTTAATCCCTCTCATTTCGTGGAAGTCTCAGCTGTCAGACGAGAGGACTGACTGAATCCTCGACACAGGCAGGGGAGGGACAGAGAGAGAAAGAGGGAGGGTGAGAGAGAGCGAGGTGGGAGGATGAAGACTGAAATGTTCCATTTACTAGTTTATACACATTATTTATAGTTTTTTATAAAGTTTGTCACTGTGTTGTCACTAATTTTTATAGTTTGCATAAAGAAAATGTATCAGTATTTTCAAATGTAGATAAGAGCAAATGTAGAGGCAGTAACAACAGCGACTAATAAACACATTTATTAGCTTATAATTAAATATGAAAACAAGAAACAACAGTCTCTAGCATGTAGGTCTTCATCAAAGTTTGATTTTCAAAAGTTGGATCAAAATATTTATAGATTTTTTAGCTTTTTAGGAATGACTTGATTTTTTGAATGACTTGACTTGAATGACTTTTAAGTCAAGTAAGTTAATTAATTTTATATTTTGATTTAAAATAAGTTTATTTGTGAATTTACATTTTAATGGCTTATTTTTGTGACAAAAATAAATTTATGTTTAAATTCAATCTTAAAATAGGTTAATGTTTCATGACATTTAATAACTTTATAAAGAAACATGTCTTTTAAGGACTCTTTTGTCCTGACTCGTTTTTAATAAATTCATTTTTGAAATGACTTTTCTAACGCAAAGTTGAGTAAGTTTTACTTTCGACTTTTACATTTTTTTTTTTTTGACACAAATGTATTTTTATTTACTTTAATTTTTATTAAAGACTTGACATTCTAATTAATGAAATATTCCTGAGATGTGACTCTAAACTCTTCCTGATGCACTGAAACTGAACATTCAGGTAAAGAACTCCGAGCAGTTCACTCCTCTTCCAGGTATTTAATTTGAAAAGCTGAAACATTAACGATTAGGTTGAAACCTTACAGGGAAATGTCTCTGCCTCTCTGACACAGGGGACATTGTCCTGATATTATGAGACCATGTAGGAAGTGCAGCTGTCCTCTCTCTGTCTCTGCTCTGGTTTCCGAGAAGACCGGGGGTGGGGTGGGTTGATGGGCACCGTGGACCCTGATGGGCTAAATGCAGCTCACATGCCAGATTGCTAATTCATAAACAATGGGCTGGATCACAGACGGTTCTGTGTTAATGTCGAGGGGTTACTGGACTGACGCAAGAGCAGCCACAGGACACGAGATGTGATTAGGCACCAATCTGGACCTGTGTGTGTGTGCGTGCGTGCGTGTCATGAGAATCTGTTGCTGTCTGTTACCCTGAAGGTTCCTCCTTGTTGATCAACTCTGTTCCAGGTCTTACTGATACTTTTTAAACTGATTGTAAATCAGTAGCAAACAAGCATCTTCTGTGTCTCCATGGAGACCTCTGTGAGCTGTCTGTCCTACCATAAGTGGAGCTGTTGTCAATAAATATATTGACAAAATACAGATTAACGCCAAATAAACAGCTAACATCTGACTTACTGTGAGATAAATTGGTTAAATATTAATAAAGAAAGATGAATACATCTTGATATCAGTAAATGTGACACTAACTAAAGGTAAATTTAGTAGCTTTTTTTTTTTTTTTTTACTTTTTCATTTACTGATGAAGATCTCGACATGCAGCTGCAAGTTCCCAAAAGGCTAGTCTGTGGGAAATGAAGAACTTGGCCACATATTTTAAAGGTCCCATATAGTATAAAGGAAGACGTCCATGTGTTGTTTGATTATAAAGCAGGTCTAGGTTCTATATTAATACTGTGAAAGTATCAAAGCACTCAGTCACACAGGCTGTATTCAGAAAGTGAGCCTAAAAACCAACCGTCAGGACCTGTAACTTTGTGATGTCACAACAAACCAGTCACGGCTCTCAGCCACGCCCACCATAAAACCACAAATATATCTTCTTATGGATCAACACTTCAAATAAAACACAAAAGAAGATGAAAATATGGAGCTTTAAACTACCCATATTATAGGTCTATAGCTTTTACTTAAGCAATAGTCCTGATTACTCCGATCACCACTGCACATATTTGTAGAATAAAATTAATGAATCCTGGGGGGACTAAAAGAACCAACTGCACCATTTAATCTGATTATTCTATTACATTATTTTCATTTCATGTACAACACAACATGATCATCTTTGGTATATACACTTACCATATTTAGTATAAAGGCCAGCAGTACTGGAGTTTCTTTTACAGAAAATGATCCCAATTAGAAGTTAGAAAAATCAAAATGACATATTTGCTCCAAATCTTTCAGCTGTAGTGTCATTCAAGATTTAACACATCACTTTCCTGGTTCCTTGTTTTCATGATACAGACAGATGTATGAGGTACAACAGATTTGAGATGGAAGTTTATGCTTTGATCAAATATATGGTTGTAAGACAGTTATTTGAAGTATCTCACCACTGCACTATAAACTTCTTGTGTAACTACTTTCTTCTGTTTGTTTGTATGTTTGTATTTTGTCTTTATCTGTATGAGACACATTTTTATTGCAGTTGTGGGTAAAGTTTGCTTCATATGCAACTACTACATATATCATTTGATTATATTTGGACCAGACAAAGATTAAAGAGGGAAAAACAAAGTGAAAAATAGATGCTGAGAGTCTGTGCAGTGGAAAAGTGATGGTTGAAGCAGAGAGGACTTTGTGTCTTTGACGTGACAATCAGAGACAAAACACAGGCTTGTTTCAGTGCCACCAGTTCCTGAACTGGGCCCATTAAACAGAGCTGTGGCAGCGCTCAGCAGACATCAGGACGTCGCTAGCCAACACGCTCTTTCTCGATGTTTCTCACAACAGCCGACACGCTCACAGCAGAGCCTGGAGATCACACAGTGTACACACACACACAGAAACATACACGCAGACTGAAACACAGAAACACACCATCCAACGCCTGTGGCTCTGGTCTGATATTAAGAATCTGATGATGCAGCTGAAAACAGGAGATAAAAGTTGCTGTTTTTATTGGGGTATGGACTGAAGCTACAACACAAATACTACGACACATGTGTCTGTGTAGTTTGATTATAAAGCAGGTCTAGGTTCTATATTAATACTGTGAAAGTATCAAAGCGCTCAGTCCACAGAGAAATGCACACAGTCTGTATTCAGAAACTGAGCCTTAAAACCAGGCATCAGGACTTATGTGACTTTGTCCTTTAATAACTTATGATGATTACACTATAATGATGAACCTCATATCCCAGCAGTTGGTCAGAGGTGTGACACTATGTCTGACTTTTGTTTCTAAACATCCTGAACTTTTCCAGTAGGACAATAAATCAGCTGCCAGCCGCACACACACACGCACACTGTTATAAATAGGCCTGCATCCATCAACAGAGGGATACTCAGCTGTTCTGGTACACACACACCCAACACACACAGAACAACTCAGTGGCCTATAACCTTTGTCCTTTAACCCTTTACTGGAAGCTCTCTGCTTAACTTGGTATGAATTAACAGCTGAGACAAAAAAGAATAAATAAACTGAAATTCAGTTTCTTAGGTGAAATTTAAAATCAAGTCAATGCACACAAACTACATCTGAACTCTTGCTAAAGTCTGCACACCAGAGAGATACTCAAAGTCTCCACAGAACCACACTGACAGCCACTCTTCCACTGTTATTCCATACCACACTGTTTGGTTCATTGCATTGCATTCTCAAAGCTATTCCAAACCTTTTCAGATTACACATCTGGAAAAACAGCAGCGTACAGAGAAGGACAGGCCTCGGATAGACAGGAAACGGAAGGAATGATGGGTACTTACAAACTGCCTCTTCGGGGAAGGCTCAGCTCCTTCTGAAAGACAGAAGAAAGAAAGAGATGTTTAATTATTATATATATATATATATATATATATTATATATTTGAATCATCACTTTCATAAGCAAATCAAATGGTTCCAATCATTGTCTTCAGGCCAAACAGTGCAACACCTGTGTCATACAGCTGTTGGACCAGCAGGTGTCACTGTAGCATAATAAAGTCTCAGCCTCAAGATCAACAACTCACTTGTTATTCAGGCTTTAATACTACTTTTGTTTTTATTGACAATTTTTTATTTTCTATACTTTATTGATTTTTAATGGTCACCTTCTTGCTGGTAACACTTCCTTTGTTCTATTTGCCCTAATACTACGACACTCTAATTGTATTTGTGATTGCCTGATTTAATTGTTGCCTTATATGACCTGCATGTTTTATTTTGCTTCCTTGTAATGTGGGTTTGGAAAAGTGCTCTATAAATACAGATTATTATTATTATTGTTTAACATGAGTGGTACAATTACACAATCAAACAATAACAAAAATATGTGTTGCAAATCATTACACACAGTAGAGAATTTAATTCATTTCATTAAGCTCACACTCTTCACAGATCCTCGTTCCTCTCCTACTGTGAGTCAGCTCAGTACTGGTCTCATTTCAACAACTGGAACTCAAATGCTAAATGTGTGTGTGCGTGGACCATGTGACCCCTTTTGCACATTCTTTAAAAACCCTGTTTGACCTTGAAGTAAAACCTCATCAGACGACGTGTCCATGTATGAAAAGGTGAGTTTCCTTTGTGCACCTGAGCAGCACCTTCTGCAAGCGACCACAAGGGGGTGGAGGAGAGTCATTCTGATCATCAGCAGCTTACAGACATGACAGCACGCAGCTGCTTGGCTTACAGATTAATTAATTAGCAGACAGGTGGCTCCACATGTATGAGAAGTAACCTGTCTGACTATCTACTATCTACTGTATGTTCTGTATGTATGAATTTGAGTTAAGTTTGAAATGGAGCAACACAGAACTCAAACGCACACAGACTTTCAGGTATCTGTGACAGCTCATAGAAACTGTTGGAGGAAACAGACCACCAACATTACAGCCTTCATGGAGAGCACCATCTGGCCAATAGCACTAATCAGTGTTTGTGCGTGCACGTGTGTGTGTGTGTAGGTAAGGTACATGGATGCTGAAACTGTGTGTTGCCAGGTTCCCAAAGTAGGTCAACAGCTGGTTTTACTTTGAAAAACATCATTAACACCTTCATCAGCATCCATCACAATGAATGCTACACACACACACACACACACACACACACACACACACACACACACACATTCTCCTTTAGTTTAGAAAAACAGCAAATTGTCACATGTGAGAGGCTCGAACCAGAAATCAAAAGTTAAGTGTACGATGCACTGACGTTTAAAAATATCCTGCTCTCTGGTCAATAAAAGGAGCTACCATTCTATCTATTATCTCTTCATCACACTTTCTGTCTGTCACACACACACACACACACACACACACACACACACACACACACACACACACACACACACACACACACACACACACACACACACACACACACTCTGTGCTCCAGCGTGGGCCGGCTGTGTCATCAGAGTCAGATAAACTCCCTCTATCTCTTCATGTCTCTCTGTGCAGATAAGCTAATGGACATGAGTGAGTGGGTGGGCGAGTGTGTGGCACAGGTCTGCAATGTGAGCAGTGTGCGTGTGTGTGTGTGTGTGTTACAATAAGTTTTCATTTAGCCTCACTACAACAGAACAGCCAAAACATTAACACTCCCAGCTAGTGTGTGTGTGTGTGTGTGTGTGTGTGTGACCTTTTATATGTGTATTTACACTGCAGGACTTAATATCTCATTACAGCAGAACAGCTCAGAGTTTTCTGTTAATCCACTTTTAAAAATATCAGGTGATGACACTTGAAAAAACACACAGCCAAACCTGTGAGCACAGAGATGGAGACAGAGGGTGAAGGTCAAGTTGAGGTTTGGGTGAAGAGGCAGGGAGACACATTATAAGTTATGGGCCTGTTATTATTATTATGCTTTGGATGCCATGACATTAGAAGTTTGGAGTGTCACTTTGATGATTTTATACATTTTGGTCAGTTTAAAAGTCATGTTGAGTCCTGCTCAGCCTGTTTTATAATGTCTCTTTCTGTCTTTCTTTACTTCTTTGTGAGATTGGAAAGAAAGTTACTTCGACAGCCTCTTGAAACCTTTCCTTTCCCTGTTCTTCATCGCTCTCACCAACCTTTTAACCTTTCCCTCATGACCTGCATCCCCCCTCTCTCCCTCCTGCCTCACCCCCTCAGGTTGACACTCCTGTCTGGCTGTAGAGCAGAAATAAAAATAAAAAAAAAAAAAGATGGGAGAGGAGTGTCGTGTGTTTCAGTACTTTATGCTCTTATCATCTATCCGCCCACACAGGGCTCTGTAATGTGAAATGATGCTCGTCTGAAACCCTCATCCGACAGTTTATTGCATTATACTGTGTGCTTTTGTGTGTGTGTGTGTGTGTGTGTGTGTGTGTGTGTGTGTGTGTGTGTTGCAGCTGTTATCAGAGCCCTGAGGGAGGACTTTCACCCCAAAGCCACCCTATCAAAATAACCCAAGAGGGGGAGAGAGAGCTAATGCCCAATCTAAAAACACACATATACACACAGCAGCAGCAGCAGCAGCAGCAGCAGCAGCAGCAGCAGCAGCTTGTGTTAAACAAACTAAACACGCACAAAGTGAGCTGTGATGAAATTATCCCCGGTGACGAAGAGGATAAGAGGAGCAGAACACAAAGCCTGCAGCAATCTGCCCGATGGAATACAGGCATCGATAATACGCTTTATGGCTGAGAGAGGGATAGAGGGAGGGTAATGTAATTAGAGAGATGGAGTGAGAGAGGAGAGGGGGAAGTGGAGGTAACAGCTCAGTCTAAACATGTTAAGATGTGACAGCAGAGTGTGGGTGTTTTGTCAAATAAGTTTCTCCAAGAGTCTGACAGAGTTTCACAAACCTGCACCGAGCAAACAACCAGAACCAACCTGTAGTTGTTGATCTACAGTGATAACAAGGTGATTTCTTGGTCGTGTATAAACATAAGCAGGTTTCAAATCTGATTCCCAGAGTGTAACTGTGGCAGTAGCACAGGGACATGACCAAACCTTCTCTATAACTCTATAAAAGAAGATGAAGAAAGGGATGATGTCTTCAAATGTCCAAAACCCAAACATGTTCAATTTACCAGCAGTTATTCATATCTTAGAAGTTTCAACCAGGGAATTTTTATCATTTGGCTTAAAAAAATGTTTTAAGGAAAAACATTTTTGCTGATTTATTTTCAGTTATTTAATTGGCTCATTTTCAGCATTAATTCAAAACAATTTCATTTTAAAGCTCCATATAGTCAGTACATTTACATGTTGTACCAGGGTACAACATGTAAATGTACTGACTGATCTCTGATCAGCTGATGCTGTCAGACATTAACTATGTGATAGACAACATGACAAGTAAAGCAACAGGAAAACCATCACACACACACACACACACACACACACACACACACACAAACTGGTCCAAACTGGTGAACAGATGTTCCTCTAACAACCCAGAGCAGAGTGACAACACATAAACACGCACACGCACACGCACACACACACACACACACTGACCAGACGTGTCCCTGCATGACCCCAACACCCTCACCTGCTGACTGACGACCGCTCTGAAGTTCAGTTGTTCATGATCTGAACAACACAATAAAATGACCACATGTTAACTTTCCAACTCTGCCAATCCATTACACTAATCTATATTCATGAAACACAAGTGATCAATAAACTAAAAGGGGTCTGAGCTCATGCAAAGAACTCTATTCACCGTGTTGATTTTTGGAGAATTGTTCCAGAGTCTCTGACTTGCTCAGATTCTTTAGTTATGTTAACGTTGTGTTAACTGAACTTTGCCTTTTTTAGAGGTAAATAGCTTGACAGCAGCCACTGAGATGGTTCAGCTGAAACAAAAGCCAGAGGAAGAGGATGAAGAAATGCACACTGAAAGTGATTCCTATAACCCTCTAAACATTTACATAAATTTTCAACCTTTTCCATTTTTGAAAATATTTCATTTTAAAATAAAAGAAATGTCTTTAAAATGAACAGCAGCTTGAACATATTTTGTTCTGTTTGATTACAAATTAAAAACACAAGTTTGAGGAGGGTGGGGGGGGGGGATGGGGGGGTTATCACACACTCACACACCATGATCACAGAATAGCTCTGTTTATCAACACTCACACAACACATCCAGCAGCATTTATCCAAGAACCAGGCCTTCAGGACCTCAGAGCGACATGAGTGTGTCTGCAAAATGACTGTGTCTAACTAATCTATATATACAGTGTGTGCATGTGTTTGTGTGTTTTTAGCTGTTCCACCCAGGGGCCCGATCATAATAACATGTTTTAGTCGAGTTAAAAACATGCAATTAACAGGAGGATTCAGGGAAGCCGAGCTCCACCGGAGACAATTAGAGAAGCAGCAGCAGCCGGCAGCCAGAATTCATTATCAACACTGTGAATATTGATGAGGAAACAGTGACAACAAAGAGACTCCACAATGACACACACACACACACACACACACACACACACACACACACACACACACACACACACACACACACACACACACACACACACACACACACACACACACACACACACACACACACAGAATGTCGACACAAAATACAAGGTAAACACACACTAATGAAAAACATGGATGTTCAGTGTGTAAATTGTCCAGTACATGAGCAGGGCAGTGATGTGTTCTTAAAGGGAAGTTCCAGTCTGAAACGCATCACATATCATTAAAATGTGTCTCTCAAACAAGATAACAGTAATCACTCTGACACAAAGCCACTGAGTTGTATAATCAGCTCATGATGATGAACTGACCCTGTGCGCCCTTTTTGGAAAACACAGTTTAAGAAA